TAGAATGTTTTAAAATTTTACATTCAAAATAATTTTTTTAATAAATTATTTTTTTATTATTTTAATTTTATTACACCCTACAGAATGTCTTTCCAAATAAGAAGATCCTTCATAAGTAGTCAAATAAGCGTCACCTGAATATGGACAGTCAACGTGTTAAGATGAAAATTATTACTAGTTATAAGTGTTTGACGGAAAAAATAATTTTTTTAAGGAGATTATGAGAAAAAATATCCCGCGAGCAAGGAAATCCTCTCACAACGAAAATATAATTATAAAATAAAATTATATATAAAAAAATATATAAAATTATAAAATAATATATAAAATTATAAAATAAAAAAAATATATAATTATAAAATAAAATTATATATAAAATTATATATATAAAAATAAAATTACAATATTTCAACTGTTTTTACAATGATCTATGTAAAAAAAGTTGTATCCCAAAAATTCGATAATTCTGTATATATATATATATATATAGTTGCCCTCTTTTTCTCAATTGTGCCTAGCCAGAAAGCGTGGTTCCGTTGAATGTTCACCTGAATGAAACTGGCGACCTGACGAACGTCTTCCGTGAGCGCCCGAGCGCACGCGATCAGCTGATCGAGCGGATCCGGTTGCGCCGGTGGCAAAATGGTGGAAGGTGGGCCGTTAGTCGGCGTCGGGGCATCGCCACCCCCGCGACACAGCTTGCTCGCGTCCCATTCCATCGCGTCGAGCTCGGTGGCCGCTTCCTGCACGAGCTTGTCGGAGTCGCGGAGAGCCTTGACCAGGGGCCGCAGTTTCGTGGCCAATCCCTTGTCCGGCGCTTTCCCCGCATTCCCAAGTGTGCCTGAATCCAGAAAATGCAGAAAATGAGAAGAATAATAGAGATTTTTCTCTATGATAATTGACGATAGCTTTGTTCCAAGATATTCAGAATTGGAGAAATTTTCGATAATCGTTAGATGAAAGAAGGAGAAGAAGAAGGAGAGGATAAAATCAGGCTTCATATATAAAAAGAAAAATAAAAATTCGTTGGTTAACAAGCATTGCATTACAACGATGTAAGATACAACAATGAAATTTATCCATTAAAATTTAATTAATTATTTTATTGAAGAAGAGAACATCTTGATCTTCAGTTTGCATTCAATAGATTAATCTAAGCAGTTATTGCAATGGACAGAGAGATAGAAGAAGATTGAGAATCTGTTGGGATTACCTTCGGCAAATTCAGCCAGATCGTGCAAAGACGTTCTGAGTCTGAGGGCGGCGAGCCTAAGATCCATCAACGTGGCGTCTAATCGCTGAGGCGTTCTCCATACGGGGCTGACGAATCCTAATAGCCTCGCTATCGCGGCGGACGCCTCGCTCTGCAGCCTTTGTAGGCCTTCCAAAGCGGAGTCCAGCTCCAGAGGAAGCTCCTTGCTGACTGGAACGTCGTAGATCTGCTGGGTTTGCGGCGGGGGTGGAGGTGTAGGTGTTTTGGGCACGGGCGTATTGTGCCGGGACGGTAACGAGGATGCTGGAAGACGCGATCTAGGTACATCGTAATCCGGAGCAGCCAAGCTGGATCTGAAACGGAAATCGCCTTTTGTTAGCATAATCTCACTGTTTCTTCTTCTGTTCACGAGCATCGTTATATTCTTAGCATTCTTGCAATTACAATTTTTGAAAAATATTATTCGATCGTTGAACATCGTTCGTTTTTAATCCATCTAATTGCACGAAATATTTTAGGTGGAATTATTATTTCTATTCCAGTTTCCCTTCCGTTGGCGTTGATTAATAGCGCTCGGTGGTCAGAACGGCCCCTCTAATGGTTAAACGAATGGAAAACTTTGAAACGAGTTGAAACCGAATGGAAATAGGGTTTGGATGGCTGGTTGGAACGGTCAGCGTTTTTCAAGCGATAAAATTCACCCGAGTTCTTTTTCTTTGTTTCGCGAGGAATGAGAGAGCATCGGCTGACAAAACGGTGGCAAAAAACGTTTCACGCTCGAGTGAGCAGATGGCGACGCATTAAAGTAAAGTAATATTTTACAAGCGAAAGTTACTACGCTAACATCGTTATATAAAAATAACAAACAAATATCGCAACGTACGTAAGTTAACGATGTTTGTATTAAATAATTCTCTCGTTATTTTTCATCGTAATATTACGATCATTTCGTCCATTATATTTTATACTAACTCGAAATCATGGGGGAAAAAATCATCGTTCTCTTATTCTGAACCGTAAACGGAGCCGATTTCTCCGAAACTGTAGTAGGAATGACCGCTGTTTTGGCACAGGTCCGGTATTTAAGTTCAAGCTCTAGAAATAAATCACTTCCTAGCAGCCGCATGTCTCGTTACGCTAGCTAATGCGTATAAAGTTCAACGTACTCGATGTTGACGCCTCGAACGTTCACGGCTGATAGTTACCGCAAACAAAAACGAAATTGCCTTAACGAAATACCAAAACATCAAAAGCTACACGGTACACGGTTTAATTTCAATTGCATTGACCGTTAATAAAATGGCTAGTTACGAGGAAAGAATTTTAGAGTTCCTAAAGCGTAGCTCGTGATTATACAGAAGAAGTGAGATGCTAAATATAAAGGTAATGCGGCTCTGGTATTTAACGTTGAAACGTGTACCGTTGATTTATACTCCCCTGTGAAATTTAACGCTTGAATAATTTTGACGGAGATGGTAATTTAATCGTGATTTTATTTCATTGTTTTGTAACGTTGGCGAAAATCGTATTTTTGTTCAACGATAAATTCTCTCTCTTTTTTTTTTTCTTCGTTTCTGATAGTAATTAATAAAAATATTTTGTTTGCAATTATTACACGTGTTTGTAGAGTGCAAACAAGTGTACAATACCTGCTGCGTATACGTTTTTAATAAATTTACAAAGATACACCGAATTTATGTTACCCGCGGTCGGTATAATCGTTCGTGTGCCTAGTAATTTAAATGAACAGAAGAAAAAGAATAATCGACGCGAAGGAAAAATATCATGAGAAAACACTGGAAACGACTCTGTTATCGAGGCAATAACGTTACAAACGACACGTCCATAAACCGGATCGTCACGTATCGGCTCATTAAACCCCTCATCGAACGTTTCATCCCCGTTTAGACGACGATGAAACAAAGAAAAGGATGATAGCCATTCGTGTTACATTCCCGTGAGGATCACGTACCGATTCGATCCGCTGAGGGATCCATCGTTGGTGAGACTGGACGCCGAGCTGCTTGGGGTGAGGGGTTGCAGAGGCCTGGGCACGTCGTAGCAATCGAGAGGCGTCACGCCCGATCCTCCTGAGCAGTTCGAGATCGGCGTGCAGGAGGTAGGCGGCCTTGGGATGTCGTAGCACGAAGGTGCAGGGCTCGGACTGCTCGCAGGCGATGGAATCACGGGGATGGCTCGTGGTGGCACGTCGTAACAATCGCTCACGTCGCCACCGTTGTCCACGGAATTCCTGCTGCTCGTCGTGTATCGGCCTGCGCAGATATATATATTTCTTATTCCTCTACTCGTAAACGATTCTCTCTCTTTTTTTTTTCTTCGTTATTACTGATAGTAATTAGTAAAAATATTTTATTTTAAGTTCTCTACGATTATTAACGATTAACCACTGCTCGAATTTCTCGTTTATAAAGAGAAATCTCCATTCTATCTATTGTATTCCCCTTTTTTTCTTATCCACGTTTACAAGGAAGGATGCACCGTGTAGATATCTTGTTTATGCGTGTTCTATCTCCGAACGATTCTTTCAAGAATCGCGTGTGTTGATCGATCGAGAGGAGAGGCAATTGGATAGGAAATTACCAAGTTATCTTGCGGGGCCTCGACTCGATCTTTAGAGATTGCTGATCGACGGTTCTCCCGTCGACCGACTGACCCCGTTCCACCCGTGTTTTCCTTTTAAAAAAAATTCACCAACCGTGAACAATGGTATCTCGATCGGTGGAAATACTCGGCAAATAAATTAATACGGCATTGTACACTGTTTCAAATAATCGATAATAATTTAACCGAGCTTTATTATCGTGCACACTTAGATTCGACTTAAAATTTTTCGAATAATGCGTGTGGAAACATATCTTTTTTTTTTTATTTTACGTGTAAAAAAAGAAAAAGAAAAAAAAAATACCAGTATTCTCTTTCGAACAATTGTGCGAACAGCAATTTTTATTTAACTTTCTCGAAACACAACCTTATGAATTATAACCCGGCGCACAATACATCTTACGCAAATGGACAATAAAAATTTTTCCAACCAACGTTATTATTGATCTTCCGATAATATTGAGACGCGCGCGCGCGCGCGCGCGGAAAGTTTTTTTATTGCAAATATTGTAAGACCGCGTGTATATTCACGATCCTTTGTTGGTTTTTGAATGGAGATGGAAATTGTACTCGCAATAACAATTCGTTTTTAATGAAAGGATTCCGGGAGGTTCGGCCCATTCGAGGAAATATCGATTCTCAATAAACGCTTTCTATAGAAATATCTTGTTCTCCAATCGAATGTCCAATAAACAAAAGTAAAATAACAACCGATTAGAACCGATTAACATAATTGCTTTGTCGAAAGGGTAAAATTTTTCGAACATTTCTTTTCTTCTCGAAACCGAAGGACGTATCTTACGAGACGTTCTTACAATCGGAACAATGCGCATGCGCCGAAAGAACGCAATTCGTAATTAAAAAAACGTACGGCGAGCGAAAACGAGATTCTGCACGAAAAAATGGTGGATATAAATGAAAATACATATATACGTGTTTGTTATTTATCCGAAACGAGATATCGATATTGAAATATTAAAATATTATATATTTATCCAGCAAGATGATGTACAATTTTATTTTCTATTGTATTTTATTACTTTCGTTTAAACGAAATATTAAAAGTCTCGATCGAAAGTATAACGGGTCTGATTCTATAATCATCAATGATTATTTTATTTTAATAAACGGAACGAAGGAAAAAATTAAGAGAGAACGTTTCTTAAAAAGAATATTGCGAGGAATATTTTGTTTTAGAAATACGTTTCTACTTTCAGCGGGAGGTTGAGGAATTTGTATTGAAGTTGTTACGTCGTTAGCGGAACAAAACGAGGGGTTGCTACGCACCTGAGTTGTGTAAATGCTCGTTATTCGAGTTCAAGGGTGAATCGTGCCTGGAGGGTGGAGCAGGACTTCCTCGGCTCGCTGGAAGATCGTAAAGGTACACGTCGCCGCATTTCTGTGGCGTCACCACCTGCGCAAAAATCATCGAATTATTATTAATAATTGCTCGAAAATTATAATAGAATAATCGATCGAAAATTATCGGCGTGTATTAAATAAAGGAAACAATTATTATGGATTAAAAGTATATATATTTGTTTATCGTTCTCTCACAAATTTTTAAACATCTTTTCAATCATCATGACGTGTACGAGATACGTTGAAAATATTTTTTTAACGAATTAAGCAAAACAATTATTATGGATTAAAAGTATATTTATCGTTCTTAAATTTTTAAACATCTTCTCAATTATCATCACGTGTGAGATATATCGAAAATATTTTTTTAACGAATTTTTATCGATAATATTAATACATCATAAAACGTGGATTGGCTTCGATGATCAAGAATCCATAATTTGAGAAAATTTGCATATTCTGATTGCTTTGCCGATCACTACGAAAATTCTATGCATCCTCCAAATAGATTCGGTCCATTAAACCTTGATTAATCAACGAGCTGTGAATATCATGTTGATGAATGATGCTAAATCGTATCAGAACTTTATCAATAACGCATCGTAGCGTTAATCCTCGTCAATAAATCGCTAATCATAAATTTTCACGTGTATAAATCACGAATTGAACGAATTCATCGTCGATAATTCAAGAAAAGATTCGATATTATTGTACATCACGATATATAAAATTTTAAACAAATCGTGAAGATATATGATTGAACATCGTCGCAAGAGAATCTTGAATCTCGAGAGAGAATTAACTGCAGAAGGAGAGTGGGGAAGGAAGATCGTTCAGAAAAATTGTCTTCGAGAAGTTTAAAAGGGAAATTCGCGAGCCAGGGTGGATTATTTTCATAGATTTGAACGAGAGTTGCCAATGAATTTATCGAATGCCAATCAGCGGCTGCTCCCTTCCCTCGATTTTCGAACTGGGGCCCGAGGAGGTTTCTTCGACTTTTTCTCCCCCTCCATTCGAGAGCTTAATTGCAATACTCTGTTTAATTGAGTTTCCCCGCGAAACGAATCCGAGACTCTCGACTCTTCTTCGAAAAAAAAAAAATAATAAGGAAAAGCATCCTTTTGCGAGATGAAAGAATTAAAACGAGAAAATATGTAATAAAATATTAATATAAGGTTTGTAATACTGTTGAATTAGAACGCTCTTTTAAACATTTTCTCTACAATTAACTTTTTCAACGCTTCGTATGTTTAGAAATATAAAATATATATATATAGAAGATGACCATCGAAAATTAGAATTTTCTTTTGAAAATTTTCTACGATTGAAAAATTCTAGGATTAACTTTTTCAACGCGTCTTATGTTTCTTATGATCGAAAATTAG